CTGAAGACTTCAGCATCTTTAACACAACAGTTTTTTCAATGCTGTGGGGACTGTACAGCACATTCAGGGGTGGGAAATGTGACTTGTGTGTGTGTCACAGCTGTTTCTCAATGGATGAAAGGACAGCGAGCTTTGTACAACATGAATCCAGCTACTAGAGGAAAACCTCAGAGAGCAGGAAGATTTCAAAAAGCAGAAACAAAAATGGCACCTCTTCCTTCCCCATTCTAATCTCCTCTTGAGACCTGCTTTTCTTCCCCAGCTCCCATGGGGTACAGGACCTCCAAAATCCATCTAGTCCTATCAGAGAAAGGCAATACTGCCTCTACCTGTTTCCTACTCCTATGCAGGCACTAGGAAGTTGGGAAGAAAGCAGCAAATGGCTAAAGTTAGGCCTTGTTCCTCAGCAAAAACTAGTACAAGACAGCTCAGAGAGTGCTAACAAGAGGAGCAGCAATGTCTACTTTGACTACTTCTGCAGACATTCAGTAAACTACTTGCTTTGTAAACTATAAACTATGTAAAATTTCACCCATTTAGGGTATTTGAGAAAACTGCATGTAATCCAGTAGCTTATATCTGTGTTTACCTATGTAAGGCAAAAGTGGTAAAAGTTATTTCTGCTAGCAATGTTCCACAATGAAAAAGCATTTACAAAAAATCTAAACAATGAAGGGCTTCTTCTATGAAATTGGAAAGTACTCAGCAGGTCTGAGCCACAGCAACTATAAAATTTCAGTTGTTAAAAGAAAACCAGCAAGGACAAATTCCAACAGCAGGCAAGAATTTTGTAACCCCTCAACCCTTTTTTACCATATACACAGATAGAATGAAGAACAGCCTTTCTTTGCCTCCCTCCCACCAATTCTTACCTGTGAACAAGGGTCATAAATTTCCAGGTGTATCTGCCTCCCATCCAGGCACAAGTGTTTAGTGTAGATGCATTCTAAAAGATAGACAGTATCCAAAGAAAATCAGTGTTAGTGACTTGGGATGACAGTGAAAAGAAAAGGCAGCAATATTGAAATTGAATAATACTGAGGGTTACATGAGTACTGTTTGGTTTGGTTGTTTTTTCAAGGGGTTTTGTCTGTGATTTGTTTCTTTTGCAAGTAGGGGGGGGAGTTTGGCTTTGTGGGGGTTTTGAGGGTTAGAGGCTTTTTTTGTTTGTTTGTTGTTTTTTTTTTTTTTTAATTTTGTTGGTGTGGGGGTTTTCATAGTGTTGTTGACTGGCTGTTTGCTTTTTCTTTTTTTCAACACACACTGGAAACAAACATATTTCATTTTGCAACAATTAATCCCTTGAGCAGACCAACACCATTTCAATTTGGTGCTCCCATCAAAGTTTTGGTGCAATGAATAATTTCAGACCATAGCCTTCCTCTTCCAAAATGAAAGGAATGGGGATGCACAATGCTCAGAATCAACTAAATGTTCAGGATCACTCAGCTTGATACTAAGGCTCAGGATTATGAAAGTAGTTAGCCAGACTATCTGTAGTTCTGATTCTGCACAAAAGCCATTAATGAGAAATACTATTTATTTACCATGACATCTGATGCTTTAACAGTTCTCATAGAAGGCAGCATTAGACCTACAGTATTTACAGGATCAAGTCCTTAGGATTTAGTCCAAAAATATTTCTGTAGTGTCAGTTCTCAGATTTAGGACTCTCCACCAGCACCAGCAACACTGGGAACACTATTGCAGACAGACCATCACTATTCCTTTCATTGGCAGGCTGTTCTAAGCAAGTGTGACCAGTTTGTGTTCATTACTAGCTGTCAACAGGCTTTCTGCAGTATAACTTCTCAGTGTCTGAACTACAGAGACATGAACTGGTATTTGCCCTACAGAAAATCCACTTAAAACTTCGTAATGAGGGGTAGGTCTATAATCTCTGGAATTCGGCATCTTCATCTCAGGATCATGTTAATCTTAAGCATTCTTCATGCCCATCGTAAGAGTTCATCTGATGATGAACTGTCAGTCCCAAGCATCTCAGAATATAAAATCTTCAGCCCTTGTTTAATTATGATTGTTTCCATAATTAAACAAAATTTTAGTTAATGGTTTGACTCCACATACAGTGGTATGATCTTTACCACCTCTATTCCCACTTCTCTCCCCTTCCTCCTCTCTAGGAATAGTGCTAAACTTATCTTCCAACAAACATTTGTTAACAAACGAAAATGTTCTGGGGGTTTGACACGCCTTTTCTGAGACCTGCAGTACTGGAGGCTCAGAATAGGGAAACCTGGTTTTAGTTGTAGGTGGCTTGGCACACACAAGGAGCACAGAGAGCACTATTCAACTTCCATGTGACAGCTCAGACCTAGATCAGCCAGCTGGGACACAAACTGTCTTCAGTCTGTGTTTGTATAGTAACAAGTATTGGTAGAGCATGTATATACAACTGTAACTTTTCCTTCAAAATAAGTTAATTTGGATATATTTAATCTAATTCAGTTTAGTACTTCTATTTTCTTTTTTATTTATGGATCACTGGAAGCTACTCTTATCCCCATGAAAAAAAAAATGTGGAAAGATTCCCTCACTTCAGCAGAGAAAGTGAGGTAGATGGCAATCTCTCTGACATATTAAGTTTTGTGACTTTTCATCCTCATCAGCTGGGGTGGCAGCACACTTCCGAAGTTGTTTGTGTATCAGTTAAACAGCAATTCTACCCGGGATGTGAAAGTTTGAGTCCTGCTCTGCCAGCTCCCAAGACCTTAGAAGTGTCTTAAGGATCAACGTTCTGGCACGAGTGTGACCTTCTGTCCTCGGTACAGCGAGACTTTCCACAAAGCAATCCAGCCAGCGCATTCCTGCTTCGCTGGGGGTTTCGCACTACGCTTTGACTCAGCACCAGTGCCCGATAAACAATCTGTTCCACCTCCCCTCTGGAGCCGAAGAGCAGATATTCAATAGAACAGGTTTGGGGCGGGTTTGGTTTTTTTTTACCTAGTCTGTCTCCTTTATTCATCTCCTCTCTAACTAAGCTGACTATAATCCACCCTGACTTCCCACTCGCAGTCCCGTTATCCTCCCTTCCCCGGGAGCGCCTCGCCAGCCGCGGGCTCTGCAGTTCGGGGAGATCCCTGCACAGACACCCCGCTCGTCCTTTTCCCTCCTCAGAGCTTACGCTTAACCAGGACTTCTCGCTGATAACCGAGCGGAAACTTAAATCCTCCCGAAAAAGTTCTGCGAAGCCGCGCTTTCACCCGATTACCCGATCAAATAAGTGCTCGAAGCGTCGCATCTTGCGCTCCCCGGGGGGAACCCCGAGCAGATCCCCCCAGGTCGCCCTCCTGCCCTCCCTCCATCCCGCGGCGCTCACCAGCGTTGGACGCGTATTCCCCGATGAACCGCCGGGTCAGGAACCGCACGGCCAGCGCTGAGGGAGGGAAGCACACGGCAGGTTTAGCGGGATCGCGCCGCCCCCTGCACCAAACCCGAGGCACAGCCACGGCCGGGGGCTCCCTGGGTTTCGCCCTTACCCGACTTGCCGGCTCCGCTCCCGCCCAGCACGGCCACCTTCACCTCGGCCATGCCGCCGCCACGCCGCGCCCGCCGGCTCCGCTGCTTTAAAGTGCCTGCGGCGACACCGCCCCGCATCCCGCCCAGCATCCCACCTCCTCCCCGTTCCCCCGCCCCGCATCCCGCCCAGCATCCCACCTCCTGCCCGCTCCCCCTCCCCGCCGGCGGCGATGAAACCACAGCTCCCTGCGGGGGGAGGAGGTGTTTTTCCTCCTCTTCCTCAAGTCCCTCCGGCTCGTCTCCCCGCCGCGCTAATTTTTGTCCAAGTCGCCTTGCTGCCCGTCTTCCCAGGCAGGCTGGAGGGTCCCTCTGCTCCTTCTCCTAACCCCCTCAGTGCGGTTAGGAACTGGGGGGAAAAGGGGAAAGAAGGGGAGGGAAACTAAAAAAGAGAAAGGAAAGAGAAAGGGAGGAGACATTCTCCAGCTGCGGGGGTTGTTTGTTTATTTTTGTTTGCAGGCTGTCACTGGTTTGTACTAGGAGTATGAAAGTGAACAAAAAAAAGGGATTGGTTTTTAATTTTAAGTGTTCTGGGGTAACTTGCTAAAAGTGAGTGTTTTGAGCTTGTCTGGTGTTCTCCACCCCAGGTTTCAAAACTCGTCACTCATTAAATCTCTGATCTCGCAGAAACGTCTGCGGGCCTGCCTTTTTATGCCTATGATTTTTTTTGTTGAATTTAAATTTCAAGTTCTGTGTTGTGTGCTGTTCAGCTGAGGCATACAACCTGCCTCTGAAACAAGAAAATACAACAGATGAGGAAGGTGAGGTAGAAAAGGCTAACCCTGCCAAAAAGACACCCTGCTGAGTCTGCAGTGCCTCTTCATTTTGAGGCTCCTCAAGTTCCTTCTAATGGCTAGTTACTTCTGAAAATGCATAAAATACTTGTGTGCAAAGGTTTAGTTAGTCCACTGGTGAACAACAGATTGCTTTAAAATCCTTGTTACACTTGAACACTAACTCTGTTCATGATTATTTTACTTTGCTTCTATAACTTGAATATACTTTATTTATTCTGATATTTTTACACTGTTCTAATGGAACTGTTGTGCATCATATAAATCAATAAAACACTGCTTCAGTATGCTTTCTAGGGGGTATTACAGGTAACAACAGATTTACATGAGCTCAAGAAAATAGACAAGGTATTTGTTACATACAGATGAAGGAAATGCTTAGTGGAGGAAAACATGTAAGAATGAACAGGCAGATGCAGTTTGGCTGCAAAGTCCCTGACTTAAAAGTTGCTAATGGCTGGAGGTGTGAGAAGGGGATACCTCTAGTTTGCTCTGTGCGGGGTTTTTTATAGAATCATAGAATGGTTTGTATTGAAAGGGACCCTAAAGATAGACCAGATTGCTCAGAGCCCCATCCAGCCTGGCCTTGAACACTTCCAGGGACGGGGCACCCACAGCTTCATTTGGGAACCTGTCCCAGTGCCTCACCACCCCCACAGCAAACATTTTTTTTCCTAAAATCTAATCTAAATCTACCCTCTTTCAGTTTGAAGCCATTCCTCCGTGTCCTGTTCTGCTATTGCTCCCTCAGAAGACAAAAGTTAATATCTAAAAGAACTTTAGTCTGACCTTTGGCTATTTTAACATTTGTTTTTGAAATAGCAGGATGCTGAGATCACTAGACTGGAGTCAATTTGGTGTAACTGGCACAATTTACTATTTTGCTGTTTCATATACATTGAAACCACTGCAAGAGGGAAGTCTAAAACTGCTTATCCATGTGCTTGCATTATCAAGGATGCGGCTTTTTGCAGGTGCTTTAAATAAATGGTTCTGAAGTTTCTTTTAAGAAGTGTGGGGTTTCAACACAGCTGTCTCACAGCTCAGGAATGTTCTTTATTTCCTGTTGAAGTATGTGCAGTTTCTGACTATGCCATGGAAAGGCTGATTAAGGTAGTTATAATGGTCCATGGCACAGGAAAAGAGAGGATAACTCCTCTGCAGTGGGCTCAAGATGCACTCCTCAGGATGGCTTTTCTTCTCCCTTGTTTGTTTTTACTCTGTTTGTTTATGGCAACCTTGGCTTGTAGTCCTTCCTGGCACTCACTCCTGCCCCTGTGGCACGATGGGTCAGCACAGCTCTTCTGTGTTAGGAAAGAACACTGTATTTAAGATGTAAATTGCCCAAACTCTTTATTTTATACCCTCTGCAAAGGGAAAAATAGAATCGCGCTCTCCTGCTCCCACTGCATGGACTTAACCACATGAGCACTTCCCTCACCTGGACAGCAGATGGGATAACCAAACTGGGGTGTTGCACATGTTAAAGAATATACTGCCTGGCATTTTTATTTCTTTTAGTTGTACAAAAAAGTTTATTAAGAAGACTGAGATGGTTTGTTGTATGTATTCAGTATGCATATAACTTAAACCTTTTGAGAAATTAGGTTCTAATTGAAAATTAAACAATGTGAATGTTTCGTTTCTGAAAGATGGTCTTTTTCCCTCCCTTCTCAGAACTAAATGGAATTGAGAAAATTTATAATGGAAGCAACTCCTGAATATCCACTTTAAATTATTTATTTTTTTTCTTATTCATAAACTTTTCTGTCCATTTTATTATTACCTATTTTATTACTCCTTAATTTGCATTTTGCAGGTGTATTCACAGAAATACTTTATAATTTCTTCCCGTACTGAGAGCAAATCTCAAATTTCTTTTAAATCAACACCCACACAAAACATAACAGCAAAAGTTGCTTACCTCTCTAAGCAATGCCGTTTTTGACATTTCACGTTGCAGTGAACACTTTTGTTGATCAGCTTATTGAAATGTTTTGATTCGCATTAAGCCTGAAGGAACATTTTATGTATTAGAAGAAATTATGCAAAGTAAGCGTAAGTTTTTAATGGATTATGTACCTAGATTTGGCATTTATATAACAGTTTGTGGTAGATATAGTAGTAATGCCTCTTTAAATTGCCTCAGCCTCTAGCTTTATTTTAGTGTTGACTGTCCTTACCTGCAACTTGTACAACTGCCCGTTTCAGTTCCTTCCATTGCCGAATCTGTCTGTTTTGGAATGGTTTTACCTGCATTACCCGTGGGTGCAAATGTCTCTGCAAGGCTAGAAGTGCATACAAAACAGTTCATCTGTCTAGGGAGTAGGAGTTTGTGTGTGAGTTCAGATCTGGTGGTCAAAAATGAGTCAACTCTGTGCTGCTCAAGCAACAAGTGAGTAAACTTTGCTTACATGTGCAAAGCTCTGCTATGAAAGAAGTAGGCTTCTAATAGATACAATGGAAATAAATGATTAACCAGATAAATTCCCTTTTTAGTGAACATGGTAGATGATTGATTTTGAATTGTTTAAGCTAAAAGTTTTCAGAATTCTGCAGATCACTGATCAAATATGGTCACTTAGCATTTCATTCCCAGTTCTGTAGATTGGGACATTTATGGCTTGATGCCAAGACCTCTGGGAGTCAAAACTGCTTGAGGAGAAAATGAACATCAGAAAACCATTTACTTTCAGTTTTAGCCTTTTTAAAGCAGCTTGGCTGCTGGAAAGAAGGTGGAATTGAGAGTATGGTACTTAGTGAACAACAATAATGCTTCAATCCAAAAAGCACAATTAAGAGCTGCTGGCTGAAGCAAGTGCCTGCTCTGTATGGTATAGGATTTCTATACTTTGCTGAGATTTGTATCCCTGCAGAATTAGCCCCTTCTGGTTATGGAGTAAATGTCTTCCAGATAAGATCTGTCTTTAAAAGCCCACTTTTCACCAAATCTTCAGGTGGAGTGCTTTAAATTTTACATCTACTTCTCTAACTGCTTCCATAGCACAAAACCAGCCAAGTAGATGTCTAAAACCACAAAAAAAACAAAACTAGAAGAACAGGATTTTCAGCTGAATGTGATGTTTTCATCCTATATAGACATGGATACATTCCTCAGTGGAATACCCAGAGGTATGATTCGTGATGGAAAGAAGACATGACACAGCATAATCCCATCTGCTCTCTTTATGTGGTGTAGTGAATAGATCAAAACTGCCATTTTCCTCCTAAAAATGGTTAACTGCTCTCAGAGGTAGGTTGTTATAAGTGATTGAAATTTAATCTTGCTGGTCATGGGAAAGCGTTTGGGATTTTTTTTAGCAGAAATTAACAGATTTGATCTATGAGAAAGTACTGTTAGTACACAAAAAAAGTCCAATTGGATGTGAAAAACAAAAACTTCATAGCTCCTCACAGATTTCTCACAGAGTCTGAAACTGCCTATCCCCCATGGTATCATGAAAGATTTTGCAGACTCATAATAGGACTCTGAGCTGATAACCCTTAGGAGTAAGGACAGCGTGACAGGGAGAAAGTTTGGAGACCACATGGTCTAGTGGGAATAGTATATGGTCAGTATTGTGGGAATGAAAACTGAGGCATTTAGATTTAAGCATTTATAGCATGAATCATCTATTGTTGATGTAAGTATATGTCTTTTTAGCATGAAATATGTGCTCAGACCCTTCAAAGAGACTTGTGTGTTTCTTGGTAAGCAGCGTATTTTGGGTTGATTAAGGCCCACACCAACACCACATGACTGCAAGGTAAAGTGTCAAGTTGATTTTCAGTTTCTAAACAATCTGTTTGACATTTGTTCTACACAACTTTGGGACACAGATTATCTTTTGATTGTATAACTATGAAGGGACTGGCCACCTCTACATTTCACTGTAATGCAAATATCGAAGCACAAAAATAGTCTCATCATATAGCTTGGACTGCCATATGGAAGCTTTAAAAAATCCTTCTTGAATAATGAAGGTGTTAATGACAAGAGGCAAGGGATTTTAAGTGGTATATAACTTCTTTATATATAATTATTGTAAATCCTAATTTTGGACAGAATTCTGTTTTCCTTGAGTCTCATATAAGAGACTTTTCCCAGAAAACAGAAATCTTTAAACCTTTTACCTAATTCAAGTTCAGCAAAATGTGAGTTGCAAGGCTAAATGCTTACTGAGGGTGCTTATACCCAAATCCCAATGTAAAGATTGCACTT